AGAAAATAATGCAAGTTACAAGGTTAAAAGAAAGAATGAGTACATACCAAATGAGTGCCTCCCCCACACTTAGTTCGAAACACTATCTCTACTGTTCGGCACCATCGTCACCGTCGTAGCTTCCATAACCGCCGCCATCACCGTCGAAACCTCCACCTCCATTGCTTTGTCCACCAAAACTACCCCATTGAGAGGGGTCATGCCATGATGGATGTTGAACCGAGGTTGGTGATGAGTGTTTTCTCGCACTAAAAATGGTTGTAGAAAAGTGGTGAAAAGTATGAGTATCGTCTCCACAGGGACGGACAAAAGGGAAATAAAGATTAACTAAACTTAGCGATTAAAAAGAAATAAATAAAATAAAAGTGCAATTGTGCGAGATTGGTTGATTGATTGAAATAAAACTAATGCTAATGAGCAGGTAAAAAGATTTGGCTTTCCTTAATTAACGACGAAGGGAACAGGAATTGCTTAGATCAAAATAAATACTAAAAAAGGAAAAAAATTAGTTCGGACCTGATTACAGTTTATTCACAGTTATATACCTCCCAGTAGCTAAAAATAAAATTTATAACGAAGTTAGCATATTTTTAGTTGCTTTTTGTATTTTCTAGTTAAAATTGGGAAAGTTATCAATTAGTTGTTAAAATTGGATTTTAGTTTCAAAAATTCGTAAAAAAATTCCAAAAAGTTGTATTTTAGTTCCTACAAGTTTATTGTTCCAGAATATAATTTTTGTTTAATTTTTGCTATCATACATGTTTAATTCCTTGTTAATGTTGAATTTAATTATTATATCGTTAATTGTAAAAATGATAATGAGTAGCTAAATTTGTTAGGGCATGAATTGAGTAAAGGAATATGGATTGACTTGTTGACCTAAAATCAGGGGGTAAAATTAATAAATTGGACTAGTTGTTTAAAATGATGAAATAGTAATTAATAATAGTTAGCCATTTTCATTAATTAAATTCTTGGAAAATTAATTCTAACTTGTCTATGAGATTAGAAATTAATTTAAGCCAACCATATTTGAGCACATTAATAAGGCCTAGAAATAGGATAATTTAATGAAAAGGATTTACATCTTGTCTATGAGAAATAAATTCAATTGCTAAAATAAAGAGTTTAACTAGTTAATGAATTTGGCTATTTTTATTAATTAAAATATTGGAAAATTATTTCTACCTTGTCTATGGGTTTAGAATATAATTTAAGCCAACCATTTTAAACACATTAATGATACCTAGAAATAGGATAAATTAATGAAGATAGTTTCTATTCTTGTCTATGAGGAAAGAAATTATTAGTCCAACTTTAGTCTTAATTTCCCTAATTAAGAGGTCCAAGAACATATCCATTTCTAATTACTCAATTCATTGCCCTTATTTGCATCCTTGAATAATCAGTCTTTATACATTAATCTTTAAATTGCACCTTGCTCCTAGTTATAATTTAGCATAATAAAGAACAAAAACACTTTCCTATATTGAAAAGGCTTCCAACGATTAGCGATAGCCCGTGACTAAAATTAAATTAAGAAACTTCTCCGCCATTCCTCAAGAGACACGACACTCGGGGAAAAACCGAAAGGTTAGACTCCGTTTTACTACAACGCCGCGAAAGCGGTTATCAAATGGCGCCGTTGCCGGGGAATGGCACGATTATTTCTTGATTTAATTCTAGCATAGGTGAATTCTAGTTAGGGAGACTTTTTCGCCCTTGCGACAATTTGTATAAAGATTTCAGGATAAATGAATGCACACCCGCTCTAAAGGAGTGGAAGGTCTAATTGAACTTGATCCTGAACCTGAACGAACTTTGTGGAAAAATCTTTCAATCCACAAGAAACCAAGCATGGCGGGAGAAAGGACGGTGTTGCAAAATCTTACGCCAAACTTCATCGAGGATGATAGTATCAGCGCACCGGCAATCGAGGCAGCCAATTTCGAGATCAAACCCGCCATTGTCAACATGATGTCCAACCATCAATTTAGCGGGTCCAAGCAAGATGACCCTAGGGCCCACATGTTGTGGTTCACCCGAGCATGCCAAACGTTCCGCTTTAACGGAGTGACCTCCGACGCCGCAAAGTTGACCCTATTTCCCTTCTCATTACGGGATAGGGCATCTTTGTGGCTGAATAGCTTTCCAACGGGTCACTTCACAACATGGGCGGCACTGCACCAAGCATTCATGCAAGAATACTTTCATCCATCGGCAATTGCTAAAATAAAAACAGCAATCCAAAATTTTAGACAATTCCCGATGGAGTCCTTAAGTGAAGCATGGGATCGTTTCAAGGATATGAGAAACAAATGTCCACTCACACTGATGGATTCTAGTAGCTTGATGTTCCATTTTTACAATGGACTTCAAGTTAGTAGCAAAAAAGAACTTGATTTCTCTTCTCAGGTGGGATCATTCCTTGACATGGCACCCAACACCAACGAAGCTCTGGTGGAGAAGGTCACTTCAAATGCAAGATACTGGTATGACGAAAGAACTCCAGCAGCAACAAAACCAGGCTATCTTGAAGTTGACCAACTCACGGCCCTAACAGCGAAGATTGAAGGGTTGGTCGTGGAAGTAAAGAATCTGAAGAATGAAAACAATCACACCAACCAAGTCAACAACATCGGTGCTGTCCCGAATCAACAATCATCCCGATACTTCGGGAACTCAAGCTCTGCTCCACAGTCATCTCAATTTAATACTTTTTCACCTGTTTCTCATTCAACTGAACTTGTACTCTCATGTGAGATATGTTTTGGTCCACATTTGACCAACTCGTGTCAATTAGTCGATGAATGTAATGTAAACAACAACAGGGAAGTGAACATGCTGGAGTACGGCCGAACAAAACAAGAAGGGCCATGGGCGAATCAGGGCAACAGGGGGGGTAACTCCAACTACCCTCCTCAGAATTTCCAAGGAAGGAATTACCAAGGTAACCAATGGCGGGGGGATTACAACAATGGTCCTCCTCGCGGCGGTTATCAAGGTAATCAAAACTACCCCAACAATAATCAAGGGAACAACTTCCAGAGTCGGAACCAGGGAGGTGCACCAGCCCAACAGAACAACCAAGCTTATGTGCCTCCACACCAACGACAAACGGAGGCTGCCCAGCCATCAGAGATAGGCTTGTTGGTAGCAGAACTGGCAAGGACACGGGAGGAAATAACAAGATACAAGGCCAGCACTGACAATCAGATCAAAAATCTGATGATGCAAATTAATCAGAACAATGTTCCTGGTCGTCAGCCAGGCAACTTGCCTAGCACCACGGAACCAAACCCCCGTGAACATGTGCAAGCCATCACTCTCCGAAGTGGGAGACAAACAACCGTGGCTGAGCAGAAAGACAAGGAAGAGGAAGGTACCCCGACCATGGAACCTGAGAAACAAACTGATGCTCCAACTGAGAAGAGCATGGAACCAACACGCCCTAACACAAGGGTCACTATCGTCAAACCTTCTCTCCCGTTTCCTTCACGGGTTAGAAATGATGACGATAGCAGGAAGTACAACAAATTCCTGGACCTACTCAAACAACTCCACGTCAACCTGCCGCTGATGGATGCCTTAGCGGAGATGCCCAAATATGCCAAGTTTTTCAAAGACTTGCTGACAAACAAAAGGCAGCTGCAGGAGCTCTCAGTCGTGGACTTGAACGCAGAATGCTCGGCCGTGGTTCTGAGGTCAATACCCGAAAAGCTAAAGGATCCAGGTAGTTTCACTATCCCTTGCTCTATAGACAATTTCAACTTCAATAATGCTCTAGCTGACTTAGGGGCAAGTATCAATCTGATGCCTTCCTCTATAGTCGAGAAGCTAGGACTTGGGGAAATGAAACCCACCAGGATGTGTCTTCAACTGGCTGATCGCTCAGTCAAATATCCGAAAGGAATTGTTGAAGACGTCTTGGTCAAGGTTGACAAATTCATTTTCCCAGTCGACTTTGTAGTAATGGACATGGAAGAGGATAGGGAAACACCTCTTATTCTGGGAAGGCCCTTTCTGGCTACCGCCAGGGCCTTGATTGATGTCACTGATGGCTCATTAACTCTAAGAGTCGGAGATGATCTATGCACCTTCCGACTCTCAGATGTTATGAAACACCCCACAGATTCCTTTCAAGGATGTCATTTTCTTGATACCTTTGAGTCTATTGAAGGGTATCTGTTTGGGGAAGAAAATGGACATGTAACTGATGAAGCATGTCTGTTAAAAGAAGTCAACAGTGATGTGAGTGATGCATGTGAGAGTTGTGAGGATGCGCTGATTGATCAAGCTTCTAACGAAGTATTGACTGAGTTTGAGGGGGAGAAAAATGAACAAAACTTGAAAAACGACCACCCCCTCGAACTAAAGAAACTGCCCGACCACTTAGAATATGCATTCTTGGATGACGAAGGCAAATGCCCTGTCGTCATCGCCGCACACTTAAGTGAGGAACAAAGGGAGAAATTACTTGGAGTCCTTAAGACACACAAGCAAGCAATTGCTTGGAAACTTGAGGACATCAATGGAATTAGCCCCACCTTTTGTACCCACACCATCAAAATTGAGGAAGGGTTTAAACCAGTTGTCCAACCACAACGACGTTTAAACCCAAACATGATGGAAGTAGTGCGTGCCGAGATTGTCAAACTGCTGGATGCGGGTATCATTTACCCCATCTCTGATAGCCAGTGGGTAAGCCCAATTCATGTTGTCCCCAAAAAGGGGGGAATGACCGTCATGAAAAATGAAAAGGGCGAACTTCTACCCAGTCGAACTGTTACCGGGTGGCGAATGGTAATCGATTACCGCAAACTGAACGAAGCCACCCGGAAAGACCATTTTCCCCTTCCCTTCATCGATCAATTAATAGAGAGGTTGGCAGGCCATAGTCACTACTGTTTCCTGGATGGCATGAGTGGATACTTCCAAATCCATGTCAACCCGGAAGACCAAGACAAAACTATGTTTACATGCCCTTTTGGGACCTTTGCTTTTCGTAGGATGTCTTTCGGTCTCTGTAATGCTCCTGCCACCTTCATGAGGTGCATGATTGCCATTTTTGAAAAATACATTGGCCACTTCATGGAGGTATTCATGGATGACTTCTCTATTTTTGGGGAAACGTTTGAAAAATGCCTTGAAAACCTGGAAAAAGTACTTATCCGCTGCAAGGAAACCCATTTAGCCCTAAGTTGGGAGAAATGTCATTTCCTTGTGAAAGAGGGTATAGTACTTGGACACAAGGTGTCAAGTAACGGGGTAGAGGTGGACCGTGCAAAAATTGAGACGATAGAGAAACTTCCTCCACCAACCACGGTAAAAGCCATCCGCAGCTTCTTAGGACACGCGGGCTTTTATCGTCGTTTTATAAAGGATTTCTCTAAAATCGCAAAACCTCTCACCCGGTTACTTGAAAAAGATGCGGTTTTTATATTCTCTGATGAATGTCACCATGCTTTCCAAGCACTTAAAACACAACTGATCAATGCACCGGTGCTTGTGGCCCCAGATTGGAGTTTACCCTTTGAACTCATGTGTGACGCTAGTGACTTAGTAGTGGGGGCCATTCTTGGTCAAAGGAAGGACAAGAACTTCCACCCAATCTACTACGCTAGCAAAACTCTGTCAGGGCCACAACTCAACTACACTACCACCGAAAAAGAATTCCTTGCTATTGTTTGTGCTTTAGAGAAGTTTAGGACTTACATCATTCTTTCGAAGGTTATTATCTATACCGACCATTCGGCCATTAGATATCTCCTCCAAAAGCATGATGCTAAGCCTAGACTGTTACGCTGGGTTCTTTTGTTGCAGGAATTTGATATTGAAATCAGGGACCGAAAAGGATCTGCTAATCAGGCAGCTGATCACCTCTCGAGGTTAGATGCCGAGTTAGCAGAAACTTTCGGAAAATGCGAAATTGAGGAACTTTTTCCTGCTGAGAGACTGATGGCAATATCCGCCAAGGAACAAACACCGTGGTATGCCGACATTGCCAACTACCTTGTTGGTAAAGTCGAGCCTACTGAACTGACAAGGCACATGAAAAGGCGGTTCCTATCAGAAGCAAAGCACTATTTTTGGGATGATCCATATCTATTCCGAATTTGTGCTGACCAGGTGGTGAGAAGATGTGTTACTGAAGCTGAGGCAAAGGACATTCTGGAGCATTGTCACAGCGGTCCTACTGGGGGCCACTTCTCAGGGAATAGAACCGCAAGGCGGGTTTTGGACTGTGGGTACTTCTGGCCCACGATTTTTAAAGATGCTAATGAATTTGTTTCCTCTTGTGATAACTGTCAACGAATCGGGAACATTTCTGGGCGCAATGAGATGCCCCAACACTTTATCTTACCTTGTGAGGTATTTGATGTTTGGGGCATCGACTTTGTTGGACCTTTCCCAAGCTCAAGAGGAAACAAATACATTCTTGTGGCCATTGATTATGTTTCTAAATGGGTTGAAGCCCAGGCCTGTGTCACCAACGACTCTCGAGTAGTCGTGAATTTTCTGAAAAAGCTCTTTACCAGATTTGGTGTGCCCAGGGTTTTGATCAGCGATAGAGGGACTCATTTCCACAATGACCCAATGGCTAGAATTTTGGCCAAATATGGAGTCCAACATCGAAGCGGAGTAGCGTACCACCCCCAGACTCAAGGACAAGTGGAGAACGCTAATAGGGATTTGAAGTCCATTCTGGAGAAAACTGTTGCCCAGACCAGGAAAGACTGGTCGACTAAACTTGACGACGCTCTTTGGGCATTTCGGACTGCTTACAAAACCCCGATCGGAACCACACCTTTTCGCCTTGTATACGGGAAGTCTTGCCACTTACCCGTCGAACTCGAGCATAAAGCACTTTGGGCGATGAAAAATGTTTGTTTTAAACTAGATGCTGCAGGGAAGGAACGATTTTACCAGCTGAATGAACTGGAAGAATGGAGAGCGCAAGCTTTTCATAATTCCAAACTTTACAAGGAACGAACCAAACTCTACCATGATCAACACATCAAGGCTCGTGATTTCAATGCTGGAGATAAAGTGCTGTTATTCAACTCCCGGTTGAAGCTCTTTCCAGGAAAGCTTAAGTCAAGATGGTCCGGACCGTTCAAGGTCATAAAAGCTTACCCCTACGGAACCGTTGAGATTGAAGATGCTAATGGGGGTCCCTTTAAAGTCAACGGCCACCAACTTAAACTCTACCATGGCGGCCCGATTGAAAAAAGCAAGGAGATTCTCTATCTCCAAAAATTTTGAACCAAAGGAGGACATTCGTCAAGCTAGTGACGTTAAAGAAGCGCTCATTGGGAGGCAACCCAACCAAAAAAAAAAAAAAAAAAAAAAAAACTAACCCAAAAATATTTTACTTTGTTTATTTCTTGCAGATGTCTGGAGGAAGACGTGACGATCCCATTTTCGAGGAGCCACCACTAGGACGGGAAGACCCGCCGCCACAGCCTGATATCCCCTTTGCTACTATTGCTGATCGCAGACGCTTCCAGGCATGGGGGCAATACCGCACACTCCTTCCTCCCATGATCCTGGACCCGACGATGCTAGAGGAATGGGGGTACTGGGATGACATTGATGCCCTGCTAGGAGACTCTTTATGGCGGAGGATTCTATTCGTTCAGGAGAGGGCCAGCCTTCCATTGACGATGGAGTTTCTGTGCTCCGTTCAGTTCACTCATTACGGACAGGCTGTGCAGGAGGGTGCTGTTATTGGGTCAGAGTCTCGGATGAGGTTTACTATTCTAGGCATGGAGCACTCCATCACTGTGGCTGAGCTCGGATGGAGGATGGGGCTCTATACCCCAGCATACACACAGACTGAGGAGTTCCGTGCTCTTCCGACCCGCTTACCCGAGGCATTTGACATTGATGAGTTCTGGCACAGACACTCCACAGACACCAGATCATTTCTCCGGATGCACCCCCATTCGAACAAATGGAGGGAGACTCACTGGTACATACTCTCGTTCGTACTTTCTTGTGGTTTTTTTTGGACGACCTAACAACACAAACAGGTTGTCCAAAAAGGACATACTATTCTTTTGGAGTTTGATTCACCGCATCCCGGTGAATATGGCTGTCCTTATGGCTCGTTTCTTCCGGAGCCAGGGGAAGACTGTGCGGCGCACTATCCAGGCAGGGCCTTTCATCACTACTCTCGTTAGATCATTCTACCCAGATCTAGACATTCCAGGACTAGTGCACTTACAGGATAGCATCCGCGTTCTTCGATCCTCATCCTTTACCAACATGAGGATCAAGAAGAAGCGGAACACTCAGGAGCTCCCAGGTATTGAGCAGCCGACCCAGCAGAGTAGTTCTTCTCGACCCTCAGGACATGAGGGATCTAGCGAGCCCTTTTCATACATGCCTAGCGCCGCAGATTGGAGAGCGATGATGGATGGGATGAGGAGTCTACAGACCTCAGTCTCAGAGATGCGGGTTGCACAGGACAGAGGATTCCAGGAGATGCGAGATGCGCATGAGACGGCCCTGGGAGAGTTCAGAGACTTTCGATTAGCTCAGGAGAGAGCCACCCGGGATATGCAGGCGGAGCTAGAGACCCAGAGGCTAGATATTGATGAGATGAGAGATTGGCTTAGGCCACACTATGGCCCCCAGGATGGCGCAGGCGATGTTTAGATTTGCTTCTTCCTTAACATTTTTATCATGTTTGTTTGTTCTTCAGGTTGGACATTGCGCTGCTCTTTTGACTTGAATGCTCTTACAAACTGACTATGGATGATGTAAGGATTTTAAAAAACCATTTTACTCCTGTTTCATTATTCCTCTTCACAAAATCTTTTCAAAACTCAAGTGTGAGGAAAGAACCAAAAAAAAAAAATGTGCCTTTATTTCCCAATTTTGTGCCTCAAAAGAAGACCTCGAGGGCGAGGTCCAGCTCAAGTGTGAGGAGGTTGCGTTTTACACTCAAAAGTCAAAACCTTGTTTTAGAACAATCTTTTTACTATTTTTGATATGAAACATTAATTTCTCAATTTGTTATCAATTCACAAAATAGTTTAGAAAATCACCCTTATTATAAGAATTTACTATTATTATTATTTTTGAAAACTTAAAATTGTTATGGGTTTTTGGTTGCGAATGTAAAGGTCTGAATTTGTTTTAATTGGACATTCATTTTATTCATTAAAAAAATGTTACTATTAATAAACCTCTTCAAAACTCATTGTTATAGGACAATTCCATCTCCGAAAAGGGGCTCTGTTTCATTCGTTAATCACAGTCTGTGAGAATGAAATATGCATTTACCATGGGATAACACCGCCAACAAGAGTGAAAAAGAGCAAAAAAAAAAAAAAAAAAATTGGTGAACAAGATGAATGTCCAAATTAGAATAATGAAAATCTTGGGATAAGGAATTGATTGGTGGTTTAACATAATAAATAGTTTTTCTTAAGTAATACTAATTTTAAATTCTTGTATTTTGGGTGATTTTTCTAAAATGTTTAAAGATTAAGAATAAAAAGAAGAGGTTTTTGTTTCTACTTCTTTAAAATAGCAATTAGATTGTAATACAGTTAGGCTTTACCTTTTGAGTGTGTTTACAACTAATTCGTCGCTTGAGGACAAGCAACGCTTAAGTGTGAGGAGATTGATAAGTCCATTTTTGAACTTATTTTTCTTATCAAATTTAAGCGATTTTTGAATGAAAATAGAAAGAAAAGACACATTTTATATATTTCGGTTCAAGTTTCATGAAATCAGGTAAAAATCACATCCATAATATGTTTAGCGGGATTTCGGGTCAATTGAGCACAAAATGAATCAATTTGAGTGACAAATGCATGTATACTGGAAGAAGCAAGCATTTTATCAAGGTGATTCAGAAGACAAAAATGAAGAGCAGGAAAAGCCGCATCTGCCAGACAAAAATGGCAGAAGGCGCCCAAATAGGCGCCCAAAATGGAGGCCTTCGCGACCGCCTACGGAAAAAATCAGAAGTCAACCTCGCTTTGACTCGGGACCAGGAAAAGACCGAAGGCTACCGACACTGGACAGAAGGCGGCCGCCTACGGTGGCCGCCTGCGGCACAAGGGGACGAAACCAACCACCGGTCGGCCAGACAGGACGGCAGGCGGCCAGACAGGACGGCAGGCGGCCGCCTGCTGGACCGCCTGCGGCGGCCGGGATCCGCCGGGATCCGCCGCGATCCGATTTGACAATGAAAAGACGGCAGGCGGCCGATGTGTGACGGAAGGCGGCCGCCCTCTGTGGCCGCCTACGGCTGACGGGGACCGGCCACCGACCGCTGTCGGCGACGAAGACGGCAGGCGGCCGGAGAGAGGCGGAAGGCGGCCGCCTGGTTGGCCGCCTTCGGGGAAATTTCTCCTATAAATAGCCCGATTTTTCCTCAACTCAAACACACCTCTTCCAACCCTAAATCAGTTCAAAACACCTTCTTTCTTCCTCCATTTTCGAGCTCCAAAGGGTTTAGAGAGAGAGAGAAACTTCAAATCTTCATATCTTCTTCATTTTAGCTCCAAATTGTAAGTTCTTTATATGTATTTTCATCTTCTCAATGTGTAGAATCTGAATCTGTTCTTTGTTTCTTCGATCTGTTCTTCGAAAATTTCCAGATTATTTTTCAAGTATTTCGCATTTCCTTCCAAAAATTAAATAAAATAGTTATTGTTGTTGAAATCATTCCAATTAATTATATAGTTGTTCACTAGCCTCAAGGTAGTTATTTATCTGAAGAAATTAATTTTTCACGAACCAGAAGTAATTTTTAATTAATTTTGGTAATTATTTGATATTAGTTCATAATTTAGAATAAATACTAGAAAAAAAAAGAAAAAAAAGAGTTCGGCCCTATTTACAGTTTAGTTAACTTAAATATCATTACTAGTAGTTAATATAAAATTTGGTACGAATTTAGAGTATTTTTTATTAATTTTCGGTAATTACCTTATATTATTGCTTAAATCAAAATAAATACTAAAAAAGGAAAAAAATTAGTTCGGACCTGATTACAGTTTATTCACAGTTATATACCTCCCAGTAGCTAAAAATAAAATTTATAACGAAGTTAGCATATTTTTAGTTGCTTTTTGTATTTTCTAGTTAAAATTGGGAAAGTTATCAATTAGTTGTTAAAATTGGATTTTAGTTTCAAAAATTCGTAAAAAAATTCCAGAAAGTTGTATTTTAGTTCCTACAAGTTTATTGTTCCAGAATATAATTTTTGTTTAATTTTTGCTATCATACATGTTTAATTCCTTGTTAATGTTGAATTTAATTATTATATCGTTAATTGTAAAAATGATAATGAGTAGCTAAATTTGTTAGGGCATGAATTGAGTAAAGGAATATGGATTGACTTGTTGACCTAAAATCAGGGGGTAAAATTAATAAATTGGACTAGTTGTTTAAAATGATGAAATAGTAATTAATAATAGTTAGCCATTTTCATTAATTAAATTCTTGGAAAATTAATTCTAACTTGTCTATGAGATTAGAAATTAATTTAAGCCAACCATATTTGAGCACATTAATAAGGCCTAGAAATAGGATAATTTAATGAAAAGGATTTACATCTTGTCTATGAGAAATAAATTCAATTGCTAAAATAAAGAGTTTAACTAGTTAATGAATTTGGCTATTTTTATTAATTAAAATATTGGAAAATTATTTCTACCTTGTCTATGGGTTTAGAATATAATTTAAGCCAACCATTTTAAACACATTAATGATACCTAGAAATAGGATAAATTAATGAAGATAGTTTCTATTCTTGTCTATGAGGAAAGAAATTATTAGTCCAACTTTAGTCTTAATTTCCCTAATTAAGAGGTCCAAGAACATATCCATTTCTAATTACTCAATTCATTGCCCTTATTTGCATCCTTGAATAATCAGTCTTTATACATTAATCTTTAAATTGCACCTTGCTCCTAGTTATAATTTAGCATAATAAAGAACAAAAACACTTTCCTATATTGAAAAGGCTTCCAACGATTAGCGATAGCCCGTGACTAAAATTAAATTAAGAAACTTCTCCGCCATTCCTCAAGAGACACGACACTCGGGGAAAAACCGAAAGGTTAGACTCCGTTTTACTACAACGCCGCGAAAGCGGTTATCATGCATCCTTCTCTGATGCTTCATCTTCTGATGCAGGTTTCTCTGGGGTGGTGTCAGGCTTCTTTTGAAGCTTTTTCTTCTTGCCCTTGGGTTGTTCATCATCAACCTCAACTGCGGTAGCTTGTTTCTCTCTCAGTTGCTCAAGCTTGCTAGTTTTCTTCAGCTCTGCAGCAACAGCTACATGTAGTTTGGGGGAGGCGGTGAGAAAGATGGTCTTGTTGTGGTTTACTTCATTTGCTTCTCTAAGTGCAATGTTGGCATTTGAGATGAGCCTAGAGATCAGAAGTCCATGACCCATCTTGGTGGAGAACATCCCTGTCTTTTTGTCCTTTTTGGCAACAGACTCAGAGATGGACTGGAAAAGTACCTTTCCCCAGTTGATGTTCATACCCCGATGAACAGCATAGATGGCCTTAGCATTTGAGTTGTTCATCTGATCAGTGGAGCCGGTTTTGCACCACAGACAACGGTGCATAATGCTCATTAGGCGTTCATAGTCCTTCTTGAGCTGGTTCTTCTTCATGTAGAGTTTATCTACTCCGGTTGCATCTTCCCGGCAGTAGGTGTCCACAAATGTTTCCACAGAGACTTCGACTGACTCCAAGTCGATGAGTGTAGGGGTGTCAATGTCTTGAGAGTCGAGTTCGATGTTGAAGAACTCGTTCAGTGCTTCAGCATCAACCTTCAGGTCCTTCCCCTGGACTTGAGAATGGATGGTGTTGTCAGTGATGTAGGCGTTGAGGTAAAACTCAACCACATCCAAGTTGCTGAAGTGCTCATAAGGATGAGCCACTATCTTGTTCAGCTGTGAGTCAATCATCCCAGCGATGACTGCTTTCATAACTTTCTTGTTCTCGGCCAGCAATGGTAATTAGGAGGACATGTCAACCTTCATCCCGGTGGCAATGTTAGCCACAAGCGCCTTGGCTTCAGAATCTGAGAGATCGGTGATATTCATGAACTTCATTTTCAGGTTTTTTTGGAGAGATTTGAGAGGTTTGAAGGTTGGGAATTTGGAGAAATAAAGCTTGAAGACGAAGAGTAGAATTGCAGTAGCGATTTAGGTTTCAGAAAGAGTATATATGAATTTGGGTTAGTGGACGTTTGATATAATTTGCGGTTTCGAGGTCGCATTTAATGGATTGTGGGCGGAAAGCCGTTTTCCAAAAGTGGTAATAACTACCGGGGGTAAAATTGTAACTTCCGGTTTATTGAACAGTCTCGTCCGAAATTTAGAAAATTTTGCTAAGTCCACAGCCACTCTGATGAATAACAGTCCATATATCAGAGAAGGGGTATTCTGATATAGGGTCCTCTGATGGATAAGCGTATCAGAGGTGGGGAATTCTGATGGACTGCAACTCTGATTCATGTACCTCGGGGAAGATCATCCATCATTCCCAGTTCTTCTCTCAACTTGTTAAACCTTGCCTCTGAGAGAGGTTTGGTTAGAATATCTGCAAGCTGGTCTTCAGTTGGAACATGCTCAATTGAGATGTGCTTCTTCTCCACATGATCTCTGATGAAGTGATGTCTGATCTCAATGTGTTTGGTCCTTGAATGCAGCACAGGATTCTGAGTGATGGCAATAGCACTTGTATTGTCACACAGCAGCTTTATCTCCTTTGCTTGCACACCATAGTCCTTGAGTTGTTGCTTCATCCAGAGCAATTGAGCACAGCAACTTCCAGCAGCAATATACTCAGCTTCAGCAGTGCTAGTTGAGATTGAATTCTGTTTCTTGCTAAACCAGGAGACAAGTCTCCCACCTAGCAATTGACAGTGACTAGAAGTACTTTTCCTGTCCAATCTACAACCTGCAAAATCTGAATCAGAGTAACCAATTAGTTCAAAATTACCTCCCTTAGGAAACCATAGGCCTGCATTTGGATTTCCTTTGATATATCTGATAATCTTCTTAGCAGCAACTAGATGACTCTCCTTGGGCTTTGATTGGTATCTGGCACAGATTCCTACTGCAAAAGCTATGTCTGGTCTGCTTGCAGTCAGATAGAGGAGAGATCCAATGATTCCTCTATAAGTTGTAGCATCAACATCCTTTCCTTCATCATCTGGTCCAATTCCTTGAGATGCATTCATAGGAATTTTGACTGAAGATTTTCCATCAATTCCAAACTTCTTGATGAGATCTCTGGTGTACTTTCCTTGGTTGATAAAAATGCCTTCTGGAACTTGTTTGACTTGTAATCCAAGGAAATAACTGAGTTCTCCCATCATGCTCATTTCAAACTTGTTCTGCATAACTTGAGAGAATTTCTTGCATAATTCTGGATTAGTGCTTCCAAATATAATGTCATCAACATAAATTTGCACTAATAGAATATGATTAGCAACAGAAATTTGAAATAGAGTTTTGTCAACCTTTCCTTTAGTAAACCCATGGTTCACTAAGAATAGGGACAATGTGTCATACCAAGCTCTGGGAGCTTGCTTAAGACCATAAAGGGCCTTTTTAAGCTTGTAGACACAAGAAGATTGGGTAGGAATGACAAAACCTGGAGGTTGTTCAACATAGACTTCCTCTTCCAATTCTCCATTCAGGAATGCACTCTTGACATCCATCTGGTAGACTTTGATGTCATTGTAGGCAGCATAGGCTAGGAATATCCTGATTGCTTCCAGTCTGGCAACAGGTGCAAAGGTCTCATCAAAATCTATGCCTTCTTCTTGACAGTATCCCTTTGCTACAAGCCTTGCTTTATTCCTTACAATGTTGCCTTCTTCATCAGCTTTGTTTTTGAATACCCATTTGGTTCCAATGACATTCTGATGCTTTGGTCGAGGAACAAGTTTCCATACTTGATTCCTTTCAAATTGTGTGAGCTCTTCTTGCATTGAATTGATCCAGTCTGAATCTTTTAGAGCTTCTTCTACACTCATTGGTTCTATCTGAGATATACAGCAGGTGAACATGGCTTCTCTTCTAGATGCAGATCTGGTCCTAACACCACTGGTGACTTGACCAATTACTTGATTAGGAGGATGTCTCTTAACCAAGTTAGATCGGGTTCTGATAGTTGCTGTCTAGGCAACTCTGATGGTTTATCTTCTGATTCTTCATCTTCATCTTTGTCTATCAGAATTGGGTCAGCAGAAGGAGTTGAGAATACAGGATTGATAGTGATCTCTTCTGATGGTTCTGAGCTTTTGTCTTCAAGATTGATCTTCTGCAGGGTTTCTGATAGTTCTTCTGCAGAGGTGCTATCATCAAACTTGGCATGAATGGATTCTTCAACTTGTATAGTTCTTTTGTTAAGTATTCTATAGGCTTTGCTTGAGCTTGAGTAGCCTAGGAATACACCTTCATCAGCTTTTTCTTGAAATACTTTCAGATTATCCTTTCCATTGTTTAGAATGTAGCACTTGCATCCAAACACATGGA